TAATTTTTTTATTAAGGATAAAAGGACATTTTATATTTATTTATAATAAAATTTATAATATAATAATATAATTATAATATATATAATATATTTTAATATAAATTTATAATAAAAGGTTTTAAAATAATTTATTTATATTTTATATATTATATATATATATTATTTATATTTTATATAAATAAAAGATAAAACTTACGTGGAAATCTGTAAGATCAGTACTCAAGAGGATATCACGGATATGATTCACCCTCTCTGTAACAAGCATCTTCGTTTCGATTCCAGCAATGGTCATCAACGGTTGCACATCCTTCTCCCAAATCTTCAACCCTTTCTTTTTCCCTCCAAAAGGATTGACGAACAGTAAGATCTTTCTGGGACGATGGGTTAATCCTGGAAAACCCATCGAGAAATTTACAATCAAATTTTAAAATAATTTTAAAAATTTTATTGGCGCGATTATTTATATAATTAATTTTTCTTTTTTTTTTTTTTTTGTTATCAGAGTAGAGTCAAGAGTTAATTTAATTCAAGAAAATTGGTCGAGGTGAGGTAAAATCAGTTTTATTTATTCAAAGGTATTTTTTTTTTATTTTTGTAGAAACGCAACGCGACAAACAAGAAGCCGGATCAATACTTATGGCCACTGGTTCTCTCATCAAGATAAACCAGAAAGAGATCGCGTTACACGCACGGGAACGAAACCACCACCCTGTTGTTTTTCCATTTCACCTTCTTGCTCCATCCGCAGGAGAAGGGCGTAATTCGACGATGGCATTTTGATTGATTGGAATGGGCGGTAAGCTCGTTTACACAATGTTAGGAATATTACGGAATATCGTATGGAATAGATACCCGATTAGCTATCGGTTGACCATCGATATTTTGTGTACACGAGCAAACAGAATTATCGTTTATAGCGTAACAATTCAAATAAAAATATCCGCAATGCTCAAGGCCTGATCGATAAGTAATTTCATTTTACTCTTCTACTAGGTGAAAGTAGATTTTATTATTTCTAAATATTTTTAATTTTACAATTTGTTTGTTTTGATTTATATTGTTGAAAGTATTATACGATAATTTTTTTTTTTCGTGAAAATAAAATGAAAAAAAAAAAATGTCACGATTGTTGAGATTGAAAAAATTTCCCGCCTTCATTTTTTTTCTCTCTCTCTCTCTCTCTCGATTCATTGGAAGTTGCGCGCCTGCTTCCATGCTATCCTCGTGGCGGAGGCACGGTGACCCGCGGTGAAAGTGTACCCGGTCGACCGCTGTAATTCGTTCCCGATCTGATCGAGCTTATTTTTATCCTCCAACATGTCAACTTGTCCGCGACTTGTATGTATTTTTTCACGAAAATGTGCCACGAAAATATTCACGTAAATTCACGTGAAAATAAAAGAAAAAGAAAAAGTGAGAAAAACGAGAAAAATAGATAAATACGATTTATATTAAACATATTAATTAAACATATATAACGAAAGAAGAGAGGACGTATTAATATAAATATTTAATTATTTAAAAATATTTTAAAAATTAAATTATCTTCCAAGAATACGAATAATTTGTTCTTTGTTGTTTGATACGATATGACAATGGGATAGAAAGTTGACGTAGACTTTATGAAAGAATCATTATCGCTTCAATCGTGCACAGAACCGGTTTGAAATAAAAGTCCATAAAGTGGACTTTGTTTTCAGGAAACTCGCGTCACCATGACATTTTCTTGGACTTTTTTTTTTTTTACTTCCATCAAGATTACAAGTGTAAATGTTATACGATTGTCGAATAAAACAAGAGTATTTCGACGTGAAAAATGAATATCATTGTTTCCAGAAACAAACGATAAGATATTTGAAAATATTATTCTCGTTGGAAATGATCGAACGGAGTTGCAAAGTTTCATCTATTAATAGTGAATATAATAATACCAGGAATAAAACAAAGTTGTAACAATCTTGCAAAAAGTCGAAGCGACTCGTGACGAAATAGAAAGCGATAGTTTCAACTCCTACAAATTTAATAAACTCAAGGTTAAAACAGAAAACTTCTAAAGTTGAATTATCACTTTCTATTCCCATTCTATAAATTACAATTTTAAAATCGATCTCATAGACTCGTCGACACTTCACCAAGAAGAAATGAAACAGAAAATGACAATTTTAACACTTACAAATTTAATTATCCATAAATCTCAGATTAAACAAACTTTTAAACCGTGATCATATTCTCTATTTTTTTCCATTGATTGCTTTAAAAACTATCATTTTTAAACCTTAACGTGAACTTTAAAACTTCAACTTTTAAAACAACCTATCTAATATACCTAACCTACAATTATCCCAAAACTCTGTCGTCCCTCTATAAACTATCGTAAATCTTTTATAAACCCGTCGTCCTCTATAAATCTCGTCTAAACGTTGTGCAAACTAAAATTGTCGAGAAAGAGAGAGACACTTATTTCGAGCATCGTTATTAATAACTCGAAACACCATGCGAAAGCATCCATTCCCAGACGCTCTTCAAACATGCATTACACGGCGTGAAGTAGCGTAGTAACGAGAGACGTCAGACCGAGAGAATGGTTTATTTAAGCTGTGCACAAATTGCACGTGTGCATCCTCGAGGCTTTTTATCCGGTGAATGAGGATGACGTAAAGGCCGGAGGGACAAAGGTGCACGAGGGGGGAAGAGTCGTGGCCGCGAATAGGGAGTTTTGCAAGGTGAAGTGTCGCTCTGCGAAGTGTCATGGCGCACTGGTCGATAGAATGCAACGTTTCTCCGCGCTCGCTCTTCTGTCCGCTTTCCTGTGAGTTTTATAAGCAGAGACGAGGGCTTCTTTTCTTTCAAGTTTTCCAGTATCGGGCTGTTTTATCAATTCTACCGAAGTTGGATTTGGACATTCTTCGCTTGTTCCAGGTTCGAACTTTTCTAGGTTAAATGTCACATTCTCTACGATATCTTCTCTCATTTCGAGTTTCATAAATAAATACGAGGATTTTGATTCTTCTCGTTCGTTGAATTTTTGATCTTGAATCCCATTAAATTTGGATTCCTCGCTTGTTCCAAGCTCGAACTTTTCTAGGTTAAATGTCATGTTTCTTGCGATATCTTTTCTCGTTTCGAGTTTCGTAAATAGATACGAGGATTTCGATTCTTCTCGTTCGTTGAATTTTTGATCTTGGATTCTATTAAATTTGGATTCTTCGCTTGTTCTAGCCTCGAATTTTTCTAGATTAAACACAAATGTTCTTCGATTCATAAATAATTTCATAAATAGGCACAAGGATTTAGATTCTTCGCTTATTCCAAGCTCGAACTTTTCTAGGTTAAATGTCACGTTTCCTGCGATACCTTCTCTCGTTTCGAGTTTCGTAAATAGATACGAGGATTTCGATTCTTCGCGTTCGTTGAATTTTTGATCTTGGAGTAAATTTGGATTCTTTGCTTGTTCTAGCCTCGAATTTTTCTAGATTAAACACAAATGTTCTTCGATTCATAAATAATTTCATAAATAGGCACAAGGATTTGGATTCTTCGCTTGTTCTAGGCTCGAATTTTTTAGGTTAAGTGTCACGTTTCCTGCGATACCTTCTCTCGTTTCGAGTTTCGTAAATAGATACGAGGATTTCGA